AGTAATATTCCGTAATAGATACAATCTATTATAATTGACTTGCATAAACAGATTCTGTTTAATTATTTGTTTAATTAACACACTTATCACACTTCAGAATTTCCAAAATTTGCTTAACAAAAATTTTACGTTAAAAAGTTTTGTTATGAAGTTAAAAAGATTTAAAAATAATAATCAATCAATATGTAAAGATATTCAAATAAACAAATGTGTTTTAATCTACAATTATATTTTTAATAAACTGTTAATTTGCTCACATTTAATACTGCAAAGGAAACATATAAATAAATATCAATTTTGGAGATTCTGAGGTTTTATATATTATACATGAAAATTCTTGTGTCTTTATTTGGCATCTTAGTGTATATGCTCAAGTATGGAATGCTACCGAACGAGCAAAAAAGAAATAAATGTTTGTAGAGTGGCATTATATAATTTATATCTTAAGATTAAACACCATGCCCAAAAATTGTTCGTAATGAATCGTTATCACGCCATCCAAATCCGTATCCAATCGTCTAAAAGCGCTGGTAAGAGTCTGAAAATACGTAATTATTACATTTTTTAAATTAGAATTCGAATATTCACAAATATCAGATAAGTCATTTTTTTTTAATTATAGTTAAATATGTTGGCAAAAATATTAGCTTAATTAACGTTATTTAATTTTTTAAATTGACAATAAGAATAATTCATTTCATGAATTAAATATAATTTAATCATAAATAATTTTTCATAGAAGAATTTCATCATAGATATACAAACCAGTTGAGTTTAAATTAAAGCTTCTACACATAAAAGTCTATATATATATATATATTTTTTTTTTTTTTTTTAAGCAAGGTTACGAGCCACATCCAATGAAATTATTTAGATTACTTTACAGATTGCTATACTTACATACAGAACAATACAGCACTGTATAAAGTCATCAAAGTATATTGTACCATGACCCGCGCGATCGTATTTTCGTATCAGCATATCAATTATTTGATCGCTTAATCGGTACCCAAAGTTTGTAAGAGCTGTCTTCAATTCATTGCGATCAATGTTACCGCTATTGTCGCGATCAAATGAGCGGAAGCAATTCTCCCAATCGGTCACATATTTCCACAGTGCTCCGAATTCTTCGAAACTGACAGTACCTGTCTGCTTCTTATCAAACATACCTGTAGCAGGATCGGATTTATCAAACATACCTGTGCCAACAAAAGCAAGGAACAAAATAATAATAACATCAAAAGACCATGCAAATCAATATATCGTACATACATAATTTTATAATATATTGCAAGAACTAAAAAGTGTGCAACATGCTGTGATTTAAAAAAAATTAACAGCATAATATTCGTAGAAAGAACAATTTTGCTCAAGTATCTAAAAATTTAGCTAAATGTGGATATAGATATAGGCATACAACATTTGAAAATAATTTTGTTGAATTATCAAAATAATTATGAAGAAATCTCAAACATGATGAATAACGCTACAAAAAGTTTTGACATTCCAGCAATTTGAGTAAATGCATAATTATCTTGATGACTCAATAAAACTATTTTCAAAACTATATCTAGCTAAATTTGTTAATATTTCAGCAAAATTGTTTTTTCCATGAATTGGAAGTTTTCCTAGCATCAAGCGATAGATATTCAGCCTTCTCCATTTAGAATATCTACAGAAAAGATGAGAAGATTTTAAGTGTAGAAGAAACTATAAATACAAGTAATCTATGTATTATAAATTCACATGGTCGTTTTGAAAATATATTATAAACATGTCATACCAATCATTAGACGTACAGTTTCAGGATTGAATGGCGTCCATGTACCATTTGACAAAGCTTGTTGTAGCTCATCAGCACTGATTGCACCAGATCTGTCCTTATCCACCCTGATAAAGACAAAATCTTTAATTATCAAATGTTACTCAATAACGTTACCAAATTTATTCCTTTCAATCTTAAATTTTGTTAATGTAGCGATGATTATACTAGGGAGTAAAAACAGAATTTTTTTTCTGGATGAAAAATTATATCTATTGCAGATATAACAAAATATCAAATCCAAAACTTTTACAAATTAAATTAACAAAACTAAAGACGAGAATTCTTGTCGCGAAGAAAGTGAACGCCTGAGAGTATTTAGAAAGGAAAGGTTATATCTATTACAGATAATAATTACAAAATTACAAATTTGTTCTAGAAAGATTATAGAGGATTTTATAGAACCGGCGGATATCGTACCTCTGGAATACATCCCAAAGAAATTGCTGACTCGGCATCGGCGATATAAAAGACATTTTCGTAATGTCCTGACGAAATGAGACAATGATACAATATCTTACACGATATTGTGTTTATTAATAATGCAGATAAACACACAGAAAACTCGAGGAAAACGTGATCTTCGCGACACGTCACTTTCTGCGTCACTTCATATACAGCTGGACTTAGGAACTTGGTTGGACTCGATTGGGTTGAACTGGGCTGGACTGACCAATGTAGACTAATGTCGTTCTGAATTTTATAGGTGTACTACAATTGCACTTTCCACACTTTAAATAAAATAGGCGGGTCTAGCGAGTTAGTGGACAATATGGGAGAAAAAAAAACAGGAAAATGTAAAAAATTTAAATATAAGAAATGCAGCCTGACAATAAAAAATACAATACTGACACATTTTGAAATTATTTTTAACTATGTTATTTTTTTATGAAGAAATATTTTAGGGAGTTACTATAAAATTTTTGACGAATTTGCATGATATTTTGAGTTATGCAAGTTCAGCAATGCATATGTGATTGTATAATTTAATAAAAATAGAAGGAAAAATTCTTTTATTTAAAACATTGTCTTAATTAATAAAACAAACAATAATTCATAAGAAATTCTGGCAGTCGATGTCTATGTGTTGACATAAAAATCTGACACATTTACAAAAATATGATTATAGAAATATTATTATATGCGACTATTATTTTTAAAACATTTGAATTACAAATGCATATGTCTGAAGACGTAATTCATTATAATTTAATTAATCCAAAAAATATATTAAAGAGATTTTACAAGTAATTGTACAATTATATGGACATTATCCTATTAAAAGAGCTATTATAATTTAAGCCTAAAAAGAGACAAGTTGATTAGTATTTATTTCTTTCCTTGTCGAATTAGACAAAAATATCAATCTATCTCTTTTTTTTCATGCCCGGGCTTTAAACATTGCAAGTATAGAGCAAGTATAGAGCAGTATAGAGTTCACTAAAACTAGATGAAGTTTAAGTGATCGATAATACTCTCACTCATTACTATGTGTAATTAGTCCCTCCATTATTACTACTATATAAAATTTTATATAGATACATTGTATTTTATGTATATAATTTCCACGATATTTCATTATAAAAATATTTTTATAAAAGAAATAAGAGACACAAGTCAGTCGAGATCTTTAGATAGACTTCATGCGTTAATATTAAATCTAATTAATATTAAGTCCTAATTTTTAGGTTTATTTATCTTCCATGCTCCAATTCTGTATCTAAGCCAGATAAAGAATAGATCTCTGCCCATTTGCAACCAGCTCCAAAATGGTATGATCTTGGAGCCCTCGATCTCCGTCCAGTTTACTGCTATTTCAGTCACAGGAATGTTGAGAGTCTGTGCGATGTAAAGCATTTCTACATCAAATGCCCAGCGTTCGACATGTAACGCTTCGAATATTGTTCTCGCTGATTTTCTCGTTAAAAGCTTAAATCCACACTGCGTATCTCTAATGCCCCTGACACACAACAACCAGACTAAGAAATGAAAGCCGTGCATAAGAAAGAGTCGGAAGTAGGATCGTTTGGCAGTTTCTTCTTTTTCCAAATGTGCTCTTGAGCCACATATTACTGCATCGGACGATGCCGTTTTCTCGGGTTTATTAATATAATCAACTAAAACCAATTTGGTAAAATTAATAACATTAACATTATAATCAGTAACTCTACTAAAACCATCAGAATTTTTATTCCTTTTTCAACTTACATCCTAAAACATTTATCAAATTCTCATCTAACTTTTTTAAATCGTTAAACTTAGTAGCACCATCTGCATCTGCGAACAACAAAGCGCTGCCTCTTGCACTCAGCATACCCTTGAATAAATAAATTAAAATATAATTATATTACACTCTAAAATTGATTATAGTCTACTTGAAGCAAATGAAGCAATCTTTGATTGATCAATTAATAAAATTCTTTCTTCTGACTGATTGATTAAACAATTCAAAGCATTTGTTGCATCAAATAGACTGCATTCAAAGCTTCTCAATTCAATCAGAATTACTAACCAGTCTTACAGCTCCACCTTTTCCTCTATTTTTTATAAGATTTAATACTTTTAAAGTGCTGTATTTTAATGCATAACGATGCGCCACGTCAACAGTCTTATCTGTACTGCCATCACTGACTACTATTACTTCATAAGTTAATCCAGACTTCCTACATTCTTCCAGATACTCCAAACATTCGTCCAACATGGGAGGTACTATTAAATAATAATAAAAATATACAAATAAATAATTAATATCTACAAATAATATATATGAAATAAATCTTACAAATAATGTCAAAGTTGAGCTCTTAAGATATTAAACAAACATTAAATTAAAAAACAGGTAATTAAGAGCTGTAATACATGGTAATTGGTGCGATTACATTTTCAAACAACATATGTTTCACATCTTACATAATTATAACGACCAAACATTTTAGCTCAATTTGAACCATTTTCAGCAGTCTTGCAATCTCATAATTCTAAATTCTTGATAAATTATCAGATATTGATAACATATCTTACATCTTTGTTCTTCATTGTAAGCAGGTATAATGACACTGAGTTGCACACTCCAGGGATCATATAATGAAGGAAATGCTTCCTTTATCTTCATCTGACAGTTGAAAAAAAATTTTTCGCTTTCATCTCTTGAGATTTTGGGATACCGTTCGCTTGTCACATATATTATTATGAAAAACTAAAACAGATATGTATACTTATGTAAATATATATTTATTTAGAAGGCATTGCATTATCAAAATAATTAATAAAAAAGATTGTATTTTATATAAATGTATAAAATGTATAAATGTATAAAATAGTTACTAAAGGAAATTATTCTTTAAATTATTACTTATGATACATTAGGTATTAAAAAAGATGTAAGATAACCTTAGCATACCAAAATTGTTATGAGTACAGCCAACAAAATTCCGTAACAGAATAGACATCCTAATGATAACATTTCAGTATAATAAGACACTTAATAATTGGAAAATAAAAAATAAGAGATATATATTGTTAAACATGTCTTTCTTTCCATTCCGGTAGTATACGTCACCTAAAAGCAGGGTTGGGTTAGTACGTATACATATGCCCATATATATAGTCATAGTCAGGCCTTATATTTAAGGAAGCCTTAAGTACAAGGTCTGATTATGAATACACGAGCAATAAATACCTTATCCATGGAATTCAAAGTTTATTCTATAATGTGCTGTTTATTTCCTGCTTTTTGTTTTTTATCTTTTGCTTTTTTCTTGTTTGCAACCGTTTTATTGACAATTATATTTCTTGCTACATAAGAGATTACGTATGCGGGTATTGAACGAGAGCATATTACATTAGAGATAGGTACAACTATGAGAGAAAAGCGGATAAAGCGAAAAAAATAAAATGAAATAATGTAGGTAAAGAAGCGAAGACAGAGAGTTTAATCAGAAAAGTAGGGAAGTAAAGGGAAGTAAAGAGATAAGCAAAATTAAAAAATTTTTATAATAATATATGTGCGATAGCTTGCGGACGAGATATGTATGAATGAATTAAGAATTTTATGTAAACCAAGTCCCCTTTTTGGCTGTAAATACTGAAGTGTAATAAATTCTATTCTATTTCTTATTACATATTTCTTTCTACGCTTGTTTCTTTCAAAGTTCGTTAACTTTTATCTCAGGGGCGACATAAAATAAAAAACTAGATAAGAAGCAAAAAGACAAGATGTAAAAAATAATAAAAAGTAAAAAAATAGGAAACACAGAGCATATTATAGACTATGCTTTATGCGCAAAAAATTCTGGCTCATATTTAGATTCCCACCCAGCTGTTTTCTGGATGTTATGTCAGCCTTGTTTAACAAACAGTAAATAACAAGGATAGAGTGATACCTGGATGGCAATCGGGTGGGAATCTGAACATAGCTCAGATAACTAATGCCCATATTCATAGTCAGACCTTATATTTAAGGCTTCCTTAAATATAAGGAAGCCTTTATCTTTAGATGCTCTACGAATTATTTCATTGGCTGTTGAATATCTAAAGATAAATTTAAGGAAGCTTTAAGTACATGGTCTGATTATGAATATGGGCATAAATAAGGTTTTCTGTTGTATAAAACTCCTTTCATGCAGAAAATCTTGCTTAAGATTTATATTATTATATATAGCTTTGTTTTATTAACGAAAAAAAATGACAGAGCTAAAAGAAAAGAAGGAAAAAAGAAATCTGTAAGTCTATTTAGACTGCGTTCGGAAATCTCCGGATGTTTGCCTCGCGTATCATCCTATCTTTGTTTAACATTGGATTAACAATAAAGATAAAACGATACACGAAACACTTGAGTAACATTTATGGACATAGCCTTAATCTTTTCAGTTTTTATTATTTTTAATATGATAAACTCAATAATCAAATTTTATGTCCTCTATATTTCAATGAAAAATACTTAAAACACATGTGCATGTGACTAGAGCATAAATATAATCGTGGCGCTTTTGCTAGCATTATAACACAATTCTCATTATTATATTTAGCCGGTTCTACATTAGTTGTAAGCTGATCACAAGTTTGTTGCCACAGCTAATCTGAAGCATTTTAAAATCAATGCTTCATATTGGCTGCCGCAACAAACTTGCGATCAGTTTGCAACTAATGTAAAATCGATTTAAGACAAAGTACAAACATTTATCCACGATTATGAAACACATGAAATTGAATGTCATTCTTCATAGGTTATATTTTAATTTCTTTATAGCTGTAGGCAGTATTCATAATCGATTCTTATATTTTAAAGTTGTCTTAAGTAATATAATATATTAAGATGCTAACGTTTGATTGGCTGATGACAATCTTAAGACTGTCTGTATTTAAGACAGTGGCTTAGTTTCCATCGAGGATTTAATCAGAATGTAAGAATCAACCAACTATAGTCGAGTATTCCTCTGTATAATCGAACGACAAGGGAATGCTCGCTTGTAGTTGGTTGATTCTTACATTCTGATCCGGATTAAATCTTCGGATTAAATCTTCGTAGAAATTAGGCCACTGATATTCTTTTAGAGCATCCAATCAGCATTTTAGATCTGGAAGAATATCTCAATAGCAGCGAACGCTCACTCAACTGTTGAGTTCGCTGAATGCAGCCTATGACAAAATAATCGATAATTCTGTAAAAAAAAATTTTATGAACCAATATTCGCTTAGTCTTTTAATTTAATGAAAATATTCGTAACAAAAATAAAATCGAGGGTTATTCGAAAATATATTTTAACAAAAAATAATTAAAAAAATATTTGTCAAGCAATGTCTATAATTTATCGTTTTTAAATGATCTTATCGATTATTGACCTATTATCGATATTTTCCTAAATTTAAAAAAAGAATTAAGGATTTATTCTATAAATACAACAAATGGAACTATACACAACTTAAATGAGAAAATAAAAAACAAATTTCTCGTCTTTTTTTGGAAATATTGATAATTTCGCTACAAAATAGGGACAGTAGGATATATGGGACACACGACATTTCATAGTGCCGGTCGAAAGTTACGTAAGATTTTGCCGTATACCGCGTGTATTATACAATTAATGTAAAAAGTATAAATATTTAGAAAATACTTTGATTATTCTATATGTCGACGACTGATCCTTGCAAACAAATTGCATGTAAATTGCAGACGTGCTTGAAAAGTTAGTTTAATATGTCTAATTTAAAGAGTAATGTATTCCTAACCTCTCTTTATAAAATTTAAGCGTTAAATATATATTTAAAAACTTGATTAAATTGATAAATTGCAAAACTTAAAAAGAAACAGAGACAACAGATTCAGATTAATGTACTTCGTATTAATATAAGGAATAAAAAATGGAACTGAAAGAGACTTTAACAATTTATATGTGATATTAGTGATAATAATAGAATAATATAATAAACATCCAAATTTTTATTAGAATGAAATGATGTCTTTTTGTTTTTCAGATAATGTCTTTCAGCCTTCTCGTTGTCAGGATGTACTTGAACAAATAAGAAAATGTTGCATAAAACATTCTGACTCTACAGTTTGTGATGGTATAAATATCTCGAAACCATATGAACATAATACTGTAGATTATGTAAGTCTAGTACTTGCTTTATTCAAAAATGTAGAATTTTATATTTTAATAGTTACATGATTATGTATCTATCTTTCAGTAGCTATAAATTCTAATTTTATTACCTTTTTTTAATAAAATTCTTTCAGCGAAAAATTATAAGATAAGCAATGCAAAGTGAAGAAAGAAGAAGGTTAACAGTTCCAAAAAGAGGATTTGCACGACGTTATCCACGAAGTATTATGTTCCTAGGTACAACACTTGCTATGTGTTTACTGTACAGTAAACCTATTTACGATATATTTTTTTCCAAACCACCAGAGAACGTTAAACCTGACAAATCTAAGACCAAATAAATCTATTTGCGCGAAAGAATGGAGGCTGTAAAAAAAGCGAAGGAAAGATTGAGACAGTATCCAATTTTGTTAGCCCGATGTCAGGAATCGGCGTCGAGATATGCATCCTGTGTGTTAGCGAAATCCAATTTAGAAAAGAACGTTTGCGCCGCAGAGTTCAACGAATTGAAGAAATGTCTTGTTAAAGCTGCTGCGAGCAATAATACAAGATTATAAACGAGCTTGAAGATTGATCAGTGAGTTTCTGTATACTTGATTTTATGCCTTACCTTTAGCCGTACAAAAATGATGACTGCGACATTCGCTAAATTAAATATCTCGTCATTTACGTCGCATTGTTTATTGGCGTTTGTTCTACGTTTAGTATTGATATTGTATGCCAATTTTCACGACGAGTACCTCGCAGTACCATACACAGATGTGGACTATAAAGTATTTACTGACGCTGCTAGGCATATAATAGAACAGAGATCACCGTTTGATCGTCATACTTATCGCTATTCGCCATTTCTGGCCTGGATCTTGACTCCAAATATCATATTACATAAGAATTTTGGAAAGATCTTGTTTTCTGTTGTAGATATACTAATTGCGATCCTAATTAAAAATATTGTCACACGACAGAGATGTAATGAAACTATGAAACATTACTGCGCGCTTCTATGGCTTTATAATCCGTTAACGTTAGTAATCTCAACGAGAGGTAACGCAGATTCATTGGCAGTTCTATTAGTTGCATTCACATTGGATTTGTTACAGAGAGACAAAATTGTATTGGCTGGATTATTACATGGGATATCTGTACATTTTAGATTGTATCCATTAATGTTCAGTTTGCCTATGTTTTTATCTCTATGTAAAGGTAATCGTTTCCTGCCGAACGGGGATCAATGGAAACTTGTGCTAAGTTGCGTATTCTCAATCGTTACACTGACAGTCACAGGTTATTACCTGTATGGCTTTAAATTTTTGTATGAGAGTTTTATATATCATTTAGTACGTAAAGACGCAAAGCATAATTTTTCCGTGTATTTTTACATGTTCTATTTATCTGCTAATCAACCACAGGATATAATTCAGAAGATCCTTACATTTTTGCCGCAATTATTATTGTTGTTGATATCGTCATATTATTATTCGAAAAAATCCAAGTTACCATTCGCTATGTTTGTCCAGGCGATGATCGCTGTGATATACAATCCGGTGATAACTTCTCAGTATTTCTTCTGGTTTCTGTCTCTGTTACCTCTGTGTTTACCAAATATCGAAATGAATCTGCGTAGGGGTATATGTTTAGCGTGTTCTTGGATCTTAAGCCAAACTATTTGGCTATTAACAGCTTATTTACTAGAATTCCAAAGTTTTAATTCGTTTTTCTTTCTTTGGATATCTGGTCTTCTATTTTTTGCTATTAACGTAAAAGTTTTAACAGATATTATTTATCATTATAAAAGTTAGTTGTAACTATAACTTTTATCAATGAGAATTATTCTGTACATTAAAAATGAATGACTTAAAAAGTATAACTAGAGAAATTCATAATATATCTTCTTACATATGAATTATATCTTTGACAAATGTATGGCATAAAATAAGT